TCGAAGCAAAAGCTTCTGTCACTTCTTTAGTGCCCTTATTTTTAATAGGTCTAACATATGCTTTCTTTGAGAAAATATCGATCACAGTCAGCAGAAATCTGTATCCATTATTAAAGGAGGAGACAGCCTACATGTCGCAGAGATCGGCTTGAAAATGTTTTAGGGCCCCAGAGAAGAAAGCTCTATTCTGTTTCTTGGGAAATGAATCCTTACAGGCTTGTTTAAAGTGTATGCGTCCTGCTTTGCTAAAAATTTTGACACAAGCAATGTTTATTTTCTTGCCAGTCGTCTGTTCTAAGCCCCTGTGTAAAGCCTGCACGCCTCCGTAAGATCCGGGATGAGCCGGATCGTAATACATTTTTTTCATTAAAGTCTCAAGTTTGGAAGGAATGTTTTACCTTAAGCATAATCTTATTCTCTGGCCCCTTATTCTCTTTTACACCTTACTATATAAGCGTGTGTATTTACATTCATTGATGAGAGTTTTTTTAAAAAAAGGATGAAACTTTATTTAACACACAGCATTCCGTTACATGGATACAGGATAAATGCTTTTCACACAGCAAAAAGGGTAAAATGTAAATAACATTGGTTATTACTCCTAACCCCTGAGAAAAAACTTGGCAAAATGATAAATGCTTTTTCACACAACAAAAAGGATAAATGCTTTTCACACAGCAAAAAAAGGATAAAATGTAAATAACATTGGTTATTACTCCTAACCCCTGAGAAAAACTTGGCAAAAGAATAAATGCTTTTCACACAACAAAAAGGAGAAATGTAAATAACATTGGTTATTACTCCTAACCCCTGAGAAAAACTTGGCAAAAGAATAAATGCTTTTCACACATCAAAAAGGAGAAATGTAAATAACACATGTTATAAGGAAATTAAACATCACACACTGTAAAAGGATAAACGCCTTTAGGATGATTTTTTTCTTTAAAAGAAAAACAAAAAAAGATAAAAACCATGCAGATAGCGGCATCATCCGCTATTTCTCTAACTCCCCCTCCTCACCAGCCCATAGCTTCTCAGCCTCTTGCAAATACACAATTTTTAAAACAGAATCTCCCACCCATGAAGCGACCGCTTCGCTCAAGGCTTTCTCCAAGTTCTCAGAATCTCTCAGCTCTAGTAGAATGTTTTCTGCAGCTCCTCTGATCTTCTCCTCAGAGACACAGATGGTGTATCTGTCCAACAACTGTGATGCAGCAACCAGGAAGCGGCCTGTCAGGACACGTTTCTTCAGACTGTCATAATGAGCGCTCAGAAAATTGTTGGGGATGCCAAAAAGACGTGTGGTGCTTCTGGCTCGGATGAGATATCTTGCAGCCGTAACACAGATATTTGTTGTGGTCCTGAATTTCAGCGTACAAGACGCGGGTGACGAGGGACTTTACAATGTCAGAAAACAGTTTGAACATACCCCCGTCCAGCTCATGGCTACATTACGCTTCAGGCTCCTCATGGACCGTGTCAAGATCCGTGAGGGGTGGTTGAGGAGAGAGAAACATCTCCTCGATGTCATCGCTGCTCAAGGGGTTACTGTTGCCGCTGTCCTCATCACACCCCTTTTGAGACTCCTCGCTCACTGTGTCAAGATCCATCGGGGTTGTGCTGGCCGGTTGAGGAGACGCTTCTCTCTCCTCGTTGTTATCCTTGCTCGGGGTGCTACTGGCGCTGCTCTGGCTACTGTCATCGCTGTGCTGACTGTTGTCTTCCTCCTCCCTCTGGCTACTGTCATCGCTGTGCTGGCTGCTGTCTTCCTCCTCCACCTCTTCCTCCCCCTACGACTCTTCCTCCTCTTCGCTGCTGCTGCTGACAGGCTGGAGCAGATATTCGAATTCAGAGTCCATGGATGAAGTGGGAGAGGGCTGAGGAGCTGCAGGTTCAGTCTTGGATGGATTCATTGTTGATGAAAAAACATAAGAGTTTGGTCGCTGAAGCGGAGTGGTTGCTGAAACATGTCCATCTCTATTTATTTCACGTCCATCTCTATTTATTTCAGGGCTAAGGTGGGCGGCTGGAAGGTTGCAGGGGGTGTGGTTATGCAAATGGGACTTTTTTCAACACTGCAATCTCCTGCCACTGCTGGCTGGCACGGAATAATGTGGTAATCTCGTCCCCCCACCTGTTAAAAATCTCCATCCAAGTTATACAGCGCAGGTTCAGAGTCTCCTGAAATACACCACATTCTGTGTTGAACCTGTACATACCCATTACCCCGTTTTTATCCCCTAGCCCTTGTGCCACAACTTTGTAGTACCATCTCCCCGAACTGCAGCCGTTTGTCTCCCACACGGCTTTAACAATCCTGGAATCAGCTCTCGCCGCCATTTTTCTCTCTCGTTATTACAGGCTGCTTACAGAAGGAAATGATGGGAGGGGGGGGCTTGGGGGCGGGACAAACCTTCTGATTGGATAACCTTTCACCTAGAACTGTCAAATCGAGTTTGATGAAAGCTGGTGTCTATACTGTGTGTGACATCAATAAACAGTGCAAACAATGCAGAAAAAGCAGTATAAACAGACGGTAAACAATGCAGACAACAAAGGAATGTTCACTGAAATTAGATAAATAGGGATAAAAATGGTACTTAAAGCTAGAGACCTCTGACTGTATAATCTGTACAATGTGTGTATATATACACAGGTATTGCACTGAGGGTTATTGGGTTATTAGGATTTTATTTTTGACACACTGTCATAAAGCAGCAATCTGTGGAAGAAAATGAAGCTCTTCAGTGTTGAAGTATAATCACAGCCACCTCGCCTGAAGCAGGCTGCTGCTGTCGCATCTGAGGACGCTGTGCTCCACCACCGGCCTGCAGCAGGACTTTCCCCATTTCTGATTTCAGCCTGTGAGAAGGGCTTGAGTCATCTTGAATGTGAACGCTCACAGCCTACTGCCTCTTATAACTTGACTCTGCAGCGCTTAAAGCTGTAGCACTGTCTCGTTTCAGACAACAGATGAAGAAGGCCACACAAAAAGCTGTTGGCAGGAGATAAGTCGCTGCTCACTTTGGTTGGAAATTAGGACTCTGACTTGCAGAATGTATTTGTTGCTGGCAGAGTTGCAACAAGTGGAAGAATAATGGTGTAATTTTCCCCTGGCGCCGCCGGCCTCCTGACGCCTCATTCATATGCAGCAGTTTCTTGTGATTCTGTTGCTCAAACTTAGAATTCTCATACAACACAATATGTCAGCTGTGGTTCACTGGGCAGAAATTGCTAGGACTGATGACATTTATGGGACTTTTTTTTTTGGCCTCACTACTTGGCTCTGCTGAGAATTGTGCCTCTGTGAAAAGTGATGATGTTGTTGCAAAATGTTTATTTATCCAAACAAGACACTGAAAAATAGTTGGGTTATAGTGGGTACATGAAGAGATGGATGAGTGAGCAGGTAGCTGGAGAGCAGGACTACAGGTACCAGTTTTCATCTTCAGTTCTTACAACCAGGGTGGAAAGTCAGATATTCAATTTACAATGATATAAATGGAGAGAAGCTGGAACAAAGGTGATTGGCACCTCAGCATGATGGACTTAAGCTGTTAACTGACTACCGAACCAGTTCCGTCAGCATGTGTAAATGACTAAACATGGAGAAATCTTTCTCTTTCTTTGGGGTCACACCAGCAGTCTCTAGAAATGTGTCATCGCAGCAGCTTGTGGACCTTAACTAGACCCAGATGTCCAGGTTTTTGACTTGCCTAAGGTCCGACTGACACTCATGGGTTTTATTTTATTATACAAAGTTAACTCGGCATGATCCAAAATCAGAATGGTAACTGTTATCAGGAGGCTTCAGACATACCAGATGTTGAGATTACAGCAGTGAGACATCTTTTAATACATCAAGGCTGTGGTGAGGGCTGCGTGATAAATCATTTTGTGAGTGTGATTTAGATGACAGTAATCCTGCTGTGTTTGCATTAGCAGGGAAATGCCTTGCAACAAACCAAGTGCTCCCTTTTCCTGGCTGACCTGCATTAACAAACAACCACAAAGTGATTTATTTCTGCCCTAACTGTTGCTCAGTGCTAGGTGAACAGGGCAGGTAGCGCTGTGCCTGAAAAATGATTGCAGGAAGGTGCAGAATATCTTTTACCATGTCAAACACACCATGCAGATTTGTTTTTGGATCGGTCTGCTCTTCCTGTTTTACAGCTCTCCACATGTTGTAATGTATTCCTGCTATTGATTAACGCAGCTTAGCGAGGAAAAGGGAGCGCCTGGTTTGCAAAACGATTGATGGTGCAGCCCTACCTGTGGCGGTCTGGTGCTGACCTTACTACACCCTGATGTACTGTACCGGCCCCTCATGGGCTTCATTGCATCTCACAGGTGTAAATTTCTGAGCATGCACTCCACCAGTGTTTGAGGAAATCAGCTTCTGCTGTGTCATAAGCTCACAAACGTACTTTATGTATTAGCACTTTATCAGTTCCTGCACCCCACCACGCAACAATAATGTAACTTAAACAGCAAAGGAAGGGCTGATATTTGTTGAAATGAAGTGAAACTAATGACTACCTGGAAGGAAGGAAGGACAGAAGGAAGGAAGGAAATCAAAGTAAAAAGTCTCAAGCTGACTTTGAAGGAAATTGCCAGTGAAGAAGAATAAATGCAATCTGTGGTTAATGAGCTACAATCCTGGGCCCCTTTTTTTTTCCATTTCCATTAGTCTCAAATGTGCCTGAGCTGCTTCTCCAAAGACAGATTCATCTTCCTGTGTTGTTTCTGGTGAACTCAGTCTCCTAATGAAAGACATTTGTTTGATAATGAGACTCTTCTCATCTTTGTAATGATGATTTCAGACCATGCCACACTTAGCAGTGAGCCTAATCTTGTACTTTTAAGCTGTCTCTCATCTATCCTGCCTTCCTCTCTTCCTTTCCATCTGGTTGTAATTGATGGTGCCCTCCTCTAACATCTCACCTCTCATTTCTCCTTCCTAACTCTGCTTTCCTTCATTTTTCTCTTCTCTCTCTCAGGTGAACAAGCAGCAGCTGCAGGCAGTGAAGGAGCGTTTTCTGGCCTTCCTCAACGGGGAAACTCCGATTGTGGCAGATGAAGCTTTCTGCAATGCTGTGAGGAGCTACTATGAGGTAAGATGCCTTTGTCTCTACTCTGGTCTCCTCTGGTAAAAACAAACATGGTTTTTATCTTTATAAGTGTGAGGGGCATTCAGACGTCCTGCAGACACCAACTAGAGGACACTGGGGAGGGTCAGGACTCTGCTCTGGTTAGAAATGAGATGCTATCAAAGTTTCTGTGGCCCTAATATCACAGTAAACCATTTTATCCAGACATTTGCAGACCACAGACGGTCACACAGGCTGTTTAAACAGAGCTATGACATGAGAACCAGGATGTCTTCAAAATGAAAAGCGGGTTGTTTGATTGTTTCACTCTGTCCTGTTTTCAGCTCTGGTCGTGGGAGTGTCCTCCTCCACCACTCTGATGACCGAGTGGTTGTTGAGCTCTTATTGCAAAAAGCAATTCTATTTATTGCCGGCGTCGGATGGAAACAGATGAAAAAAATCGATCCGTCAGCTGCTTTCTCTTTGAGAGGGACGTTTTCGTACTTTGAGTGAACTAAAGCTTTTTGAGTTTGAGCTGTGACTGCCAACATGTTCCTCCTCCAGGTACATCCATCCACGTGTTACTGCAGCTGATGATTTAGTGGAGCTTGCACCCCATAAAAGTTATTGACAAACAGGTTTAACACTGATTTTAAATTTCATTGACATTTTCTTTGCCAAGATTCTTGAATTCATTCCTAAAATTTGCTGAGTAGTTGCCTGAAAACTAATGACTCCTCAGGAGACGCTCACAAACCGTCTCCCGTCAACTCATGTTCCTCTGTCTCTCCGCTGTTGGCAGAGAAGATTTCTGATCATTTAGCTTTTTTATTCTATTGTTACGCCGTCTCTTTGTCCGTCTCCTGCTTCTCTGTCTCCCCTCATCTTTGTCTTCCCCTCCTTTGCTGAAGCACCCGTCATCTGGTATGAGATGAGCATTGTATTGGTTACTTGTCTTTTATTGCCACCAAGTGTGAGATGAGAGCACCTCAGTGAAACTCGGTCACAGCAATAGTATGGCTGCAGAGCGTCAGAGGTGAGACGAGTCGTCCTCCTCTATGGACGTCATCCTCATGAAGCCAGACGGAAAACACTCGCCATGTGTTTAATGTCCTCCTGAGATGCCAGTGTGGGTGTCTGCACCCACACGGCAACAACAATCTGTGTGTTTTTCATTTATCATGTGAGGCCATGGCAGATGTTCCACATGAGGAAAGAGAGTTGTCAGAACAGAAACATGTGAGATGATCTGGTTTACATTTAAGCTCCAGCTCTGTCTCATTCCTGGTAGACGTGTCGACTGTTTGATGATGGTACATACACTGAGTATGGCAGCCCGTCCCCATCCTAAAATTACTTGGCAATTCATTATTTTATCTATAGAATACAGATACTCCTAGGATTATAGCAACTTGCAAATTGTGACCTAGAAACTTGACAACTCTAAGCTCACACACAAAAGGACAATTATGTGCACAAGGGAGACTGATGAAACTCCAGCACCCAGGCTGCTGGGCAGCTGGTTGGTCGAGTGACACGTCACTGCTCCCTCTGTCTGAGCAGTCGCTCCAGGAAGCTGCAGCCTCAGGGAGCAGGGTTGACTGCACATTCTTCAAATCGCGCTGGTGGCCCTCTGCAGTGGAGAGTAACAACCTAAGTCGCTGCCGGGGTCTTAAGAGTGTTCAAAACTCAGGGAATGATTTAAGTTGGCAGCACTGCACACTGATGCTCGGCTGGTGAGATTTTCTCACAGGCTGTCCTTCTGGCTGCTCCTGACGTCTGCAGCACATTCATTAATTACCACCTATAACCTGTTCCATACTCTACCATTACTGCTTCTAATTAGCATCTTCCATAATTCAGGTCTCTGCTGTCACAGCATGGTGAGACAGTCTGAAATCTGGCTTCTGATCATTTGTCATCCTGTGTCAGCAGTGTAGGAGCAGTGAGGGTGATGCGGAGCTAATCGCTCTCTTTCCACACTCAGTAAGAATATGGCAGCAGTTTTCTGTTTCTGAGAGATTTCTGGAGAAATGTGACTTATGACTGTCCAGTTTCATGTGTACGACGGATGAGTTTTCATTGAAAGGTGGTAATTTACAAAGGACAGGGCATGGTGGTGTTCACCTTTTGTCAGTATAATAATGGATCAGACATTTGAAAAGGGACCTAAACGACCCCACCCATATGTAGTGTTTAAAACCTTCTGTGTGCTGAGATGGCCTTTGACCTTAGTGTGTCCCCCCATTACATCATCTCAAACACTGGTGTGTGTATGTGAGGCTCAGGGCAGAAACAGGCCATCAGTTGTTCCTGTGAGAGGCAAAGTGGTCTTAATTATGTGAACTGTCTTGCACTTTGCAGTGTGGAGCCGGAACATGGCGGCTCACAGATGCAGAGGTGGTGGTTGAATTTAATGTTGCTCTCCAGGAGAAAACCACCAGTTGTTGACTTTTCATGGCGCGTGGCTGCAGTCGGAGTCACACCCTTCATTCTGTACATGGTTAGAATAACAGTGGGACCTATCTGTGATGGTGGCAGGTTTCCCCTCTGTGATGTGATTAGCAGAAACATTGTCTCATTTCACATCTTAAAAATTGTTATACAAACTTTAGATTTTGTCACCGTCCTTTGGCCAGTCATGAAACATGCACTATCTGCATTCAGTTGTCAGTTTATTGGGTACACCTGGCTAAAACTAAGTGACCCTACTGCAACAGCCATGCAGTAAATCCTCCTTCATGGAGGTGCTAATGTTAAGTTTGTGCTCAAGCTGTTTGACAGAGGTGTTGATTCATCTGAACAGTGAGATCATTATAATAGGCTGTTCAGTTGTTCTGTGTTATCTTGAGAGTTTTCTTTTACTGTCCTTCCCATACATCTATGAAGTGAGAGAAACAGCTCTCTGTATAATGCAGTACAGTTACTACAGCCTCCAAAGTATTCAGTTAATAAATCCTCACACTGGAGAACCTACAGCCAGAGAATGACTCAAGTCTTTACTTGATAAATCACTGAGAACATTATGAATTAGCTCAGTCAGTTGAGGTTCTGAAGCCAGTTGTCAATCAAAAAGCGCCTGTCGCTTCTTTAACGTGGCAGTTTGCTACTTTGTTTCTGTCTTACATCGATGCCTGAATATTTACAGTTAAGAGCGTAAAACAGAAAATGACAGGAGACTAAAAACTGCGATGGACAGTTTTCCAAAAAAACCCCATCAGCTCATTTGACAGTGAAATTAATCATTAGATGCGGCGCTGCTTAAATGCACAACCAGGGCGAGTTTTGAAAGTGTTGCAACTGCATCAGATAGATTTGAATCCTCTGTAGCAAGTTTCAGGTCTGTGCAAGTTGATTTACATAGAAATGAAATGAAGCCAGTTGGCTGCTTGGAGGAACGCCGATTAATCTGAAAACTGATGGATGAATTAGGATGTGGATCAGCACTGTTGTCTAGATGATGTGTTGTTCAGTAAACATGTGAAATCCTGCCAGTGTAGTTCTTGGGGGCTCAAAACAAACTCTAAACTGCCAAAGAGCTGCGGGTCAGTCATTTTATTACACGACTTTGCATCCATCTTTATCTTGATTCACCTTTATTTCCCTGTGTGAACATGCCAGAACCTGTCTCTGTGGAGAAAGGTAGGCGAGCACATTGTAGAAAACACATCACTCCTGTCGAATAGTGGCAGTTAATATTTATGAAGGACTGTGCTAGAGCTGCAGGTGTGTGAGCTGTGACTGAGTGTTTTAAAGCAGCCGGTGTCCAGTGCCTCGGGAAGCTGCTGCTCAGACTCGATGTGCCTCCAGCACAGAAATTTGTTTTTATTTAATGATGGATTTCACAGATTCTCCCCCACCCGCTGACCCCAGATCTGCTGGTGCATCTCAGCGGAGATTGTTCTGTCATCTCAAAGCTTACACTGTCCACACCTTTAATCTGTGTGGAAAATGAGACGGGAGGCAGCAGAGTAATCAAACAGGATCACCAGGTCAAAGGTCACCAGGGAGAAGCGGCTTCATAAACCGCAAAACCATCTTTCTAATCTCATATAGAGCCCTGGTGCATTAGCACCAGCTCTCGTTTGAGCGTGACTTACACCTACTACTCTACAGTTTGCTTGCTAGCTATGCATTCGCCCCGGAAAAGCATTTTTCCTACATGTTCTCTCTCAATATATTCAGGGTGAGAACAGGGCCATGGTTTCACTGGCTTCACCCGACACCCCCAGCATGCACAGAATACTCCTTATTTTTCATGATTTTGAAAGCTGGTTTTGTGTACGTGGTGATATTTTTAATCATTCAAATGTGGCTGGGGGGTTAACAACACATCTTCCTGGTATGACAAACTTGGAGCACATTTATTATTGTTACCCCGGCTTCACCAGAATTTACTTATCGTACAGACTGACTAGCTATGACGCCTGTTGACTAGTGAGCAGGTTCTTTTGTTTTCTGTCAGTTCTGTCTCTGACAAAACGTCACATAAAGACATCTGATTAGCTGTATGTTTGGAGTTACCTTCCAAACAAATGCACCTGTCATTTCCAGAGAGGCAGTGAACACATCAGGAGCGCTGTCGCTCTGCCTTCACGCTGTTAACGGCGCGCTGTTCCTCAGAGTGCGAGTGGGATGTCTGCGTCTGTCTGCTCTGATACTAGTTTCTCATGGAAGCCTGTTAATTCAGCATGAAAGTGGTTTTGGAGTGTGAATGCAGGTGGCTTGTCTCCTTCACATATAGACAAACAATTCTGATTTTATATGTTTAACCATTTCTTCAGCCATTCAGTAATTTTTTTTTTTTTTTTTTTTTATTAAATTCAACTTCATTCTGAAGGGTGTTCCCACAGCAGGAGAGACACATTAAAGCCGTCATTAAACAACAATCAGGCAGTCTGAACTGCTGTGTGTCTGGATATTAAGGTTTAAATTTGCTTAAATCTTTGAATTGTGAATCAAGAATGTGGCCAGATCAAGGTGTTTGGCAGATTTTCAAATCTAGGTTTTCTGTTTCACCAGCT